TACGTTCCATATCATATACGTACGTCTATGAAGGACACTACTTGCTAACAAAACAGTAATTTCAATTTGACGTCCAGTTACGTGAAAAATTGAGGACAATTTGAAATATCAAAATATATATAATAAATATATACTTTCATAAAATAAAACAAACAGAAATTTATATATATTTATTTATAATATAAATATATTATTTCTGATGAAAAATTGAGGACAATTTGAAATATCAAATATATGTTCTGAATGCCAATAAAACACGCAAAATATATCTAGTTTCATACAAAAATAAAACATTATTATTTTTCAGTAAAATTTGAAACCAGATCAATTACCAATTATTGTTTTACGCATTTATATATGTGTTTAGTGTGCATTTATCTTTCTGCATTTCTATATATATATATATATATATATATATATATATATATATATATATATATATATAGATACGTGTGTGTGTGTCTGTGTAAAAAATTTGGATATAAATAAAATATATCTGTAAAAAAAGAATGTGAACAAGTGCAAAAGGAAAACATTTTTACCGACGCGTAATAACTCTTACTCCCTTTCGTTTATTCGGTATTAAATTATATCACTTAGCATCCTCCATAGTTTAACTTTAAAATATTTTTGATCCATCTTAATTCTTATGATGTGAAAATCTAACGATATATTTACTTCCGTTTCGGAATACATGTCGCAAAATCAAATCCTTAAATTTCCCGTGATAAAGTCCATGAGTGGACGAAACGAGTTGGTAAAAGAAATTTACTCTCTTTTCTTTATCCCCCCGCCACACAAACACAAACGCCCATACACGATCAGGTGATCTTCAGACAGCGTGAACAGTTCATGAAAGGAAATGTTGATCAAAACTGCCTGAAAGCTTTAAGCGCATATTGCCGCAAAATTATCAAATGTTCAATACACCCCTCCTCCGTCATATGTGTCATATATAATATGTTATATATGATAATATATGTGTAATATATGACAATATACATGATTATAATGAATAATTTGCAGTGATATATATATATATATATATATATATATATATACATGAACTGCGGATTACAGAATTTTTTAAATGCAATGTCAATCGTTATCTTCTATGTTCTTAATTCATTTTCTTTCATTGTTCTCTTTCCGTAACAATGTTTTATTTTTGCATCTTAGTGGCTTTACTGCCTTGCTTCTTTTGAAATGATTAAAAACAAGTCCCACCAGCAAGGCAACCCACACTGGATGAAGAAGTTTTAGAAGAGACCACTGAATTGCATCCACGTCAAAGCAACAAGGATTTGTAACATATTCAACTCTCCACGAAAAATCTCAAGCGAATTGAGAAAAATAACACAGACGATATTTTGATTCTCTTTGAGCTTTTGCTTGAGAACTAAACATAACTTTCCACCATCTGCAACAGTCTTTTAAGCAAGAAGGCTACCCTTTCATCTTTACATCGGCTTGTTATAGGTAATGAAATATGGGTTTTGCATATCAATGAAAAAGAAAAAAAGACAGAGGTTATAATAACATTAGAAAACCAGTGCCAACATCCAAACTAGGACTCTGTGCAGATTCTTCATTGTTCCTTGATGAAATATTGAAAGGTGCCGTTCATTACGAGTGGGCCGTGGAAGGACCACTACTACAGACGTTTATTGCCAGCAGCTTTATCGGGTATACAGAGCTTTACGTTGAAAGTGTCTTGCTTTGGTAAACACAAGAGATGTCATTCGCCAGTATGAAAAGGACATGCTTTGAGAGAAACATAATCAAAAGAAAATAAGATCTTTAAAATGGAAGGTTCTTCCACATCTTCCATACTTAGCAGGTTAATCATCTACAGATTTTCATTTGTTTCGATCACTAACATATTTCATAAATGAGAGAACATTCAAAAAGAAGCTGAAAAAAATAATTTACATTTTATCGTGGTGGTGGTGGTGGTGGGGGGCACTTTAACGGTATAATTGGAGATTTGCCTTCCTGTTGCGATGAATGAAAATGATTACTTTTTTGATAAATAATAATTAAATAAGCCTAACTTACAGCTGTTTTTTAATATCCTTTCTGGTAAAACAATTACTACCGAGTGAACGAAAGTTTTGAAGTAATTATTTAAAAGAAACCAACTCGTAATACTACGGATGAATATTTCTGCAATGTTGACCAGTACTGAAACTTAACAGAATGTGTTGTTTTCATGATATATTATATTATTATATAATAATTTGTTCAAATTGGTGTTCCCATCCTAGTTGTAATATTCACAACTTTCAGGCATTGTAAAGTTGAACGTTTCCAGATATCTGTCGCGTTTGAAAATCTGAGAATTTCAAATGAAATTCTTTATTCAATGCACCCATACATTCTGATATCCTTGCTAACATATAACACATACCCGTTACTTCTTTTTAGATGTGTCTATAGCAATCACGATAAACACACCAGATCGAATAGATCAATGTAGAATCTTGACTATAGTTATTCT